TTTATTTCAATATAAGTCATGTTTTTTGTCTTATTTTATTTTTTACACATTTTTTGTTGGCTTAAAGGCATATATTAGTAAAAGATAGATCATAAACTACTTAACTATAATTTGTTCCATTTAAATTTACTTTAATTTTCTCCTCTTTTTTTAAAATTACACATGTTTTTCATGGTAAAACTGTTTTTCTGAGGACGTTGGACAAAAGCGGTGGAAGTATTTATTGCAGTGAACTGTTTGAATTTTGTCACTTCTGAGCAAATCAAACCATTTAACCAGATCCACGATGTCCTTATGCTGCATTTGCCAGCAGGAAAAGTACAAAACACTCAGCCATTAGTTGTCATGGCGACATCATTAAGTAACAAAAACAAAATCATCCTCTAACAAGGAATTTTCAAAGAGCTTATAGGAAGTATCTGTCAGAAAGAATAACTCATTTTCCTGCAGATGTCTGCAACATGATTTTTATTTACCTGCACAAAAAAGCCTAATCATTTTCTAAAGAAAAAAAAGAAAGACATTAAAGCAACTTAAAAGCTTTTTAGCCTTGATTTAACATCAATAATCCAACAACAAATTATAAACATTACTGCTCCTGACTTCAAAAAAGACAACATGCTCATTTTGTTGAGAAAAATGGTTTCTTTTCATAATATGTTTTTTATGAGGACCTGTTGCTTCTGGCTGCACTTTTAGGCCCCAGTTTGTCCTGACTAGTTTAATGGATTTAAGAGGAGACATAATTATATAAAAAACACTACTGTTATTTAAAATCCCATCTCTATCTTTTACTCTGCTGTCAGGGCTTCTGATGGGGAAATACAAACAGCATGGACAGTGAGTGGCTTTTGAGTTTAGCAGCCAAAAAATAATTCATAATCCACTGCTGCCTGGTTTTAATGTTCTAATTAGTTACCAGAAACTGACATTTATGTATTTTCTGAAGTCATTTTTATTTTGGCCATACAATAGTGTCCCAACATCACTCAGATGAAGACACGACTTCAGAAAGAAGACGAAAATGTTAAGGAGACGGACCTTTTCATTTTAACGTCCATTTTTCCAGAAAAGTTTGAGAGTGCTGGAAACATAACAGACTAACGGTTAATTCAATAAAGAAAAAAGTGACAAAACTTTGGTGACACGTTTGGCCCCAAAAATAGTCCAAGAAGCTTCAAAAAAGAGCTCATCACTGTCAGTATATCCATATGTGCTTCAGTTACACAGAACTGAATCCGTTTAGTCGACTCCAGATTAGTGCAGCAGTTCATTATTTTGTCCATCTGCTGGTTAATTCCTGCCTATGGACATCTGCCAAACAGATTTCTGTCTTTGGTTTTTCAGATGAACAGACTTCGACAAAAAATATGATCTGTTGCTTGTGGGAGAGTGGAGACCAGTTAGGGAATGTTTGGTAGGCTGAGCTGAACTTATTAAGAAATTAAACTTTTAATCAAAGTGATTAGACATAATGCAAATAAGTCAACAACAAAGCCAGGGGTGATTTGTCATGTTTTTTTATGGATTTAGGGTTTGATGTGTTTTGGTTTGAAGTTTTGAAAAAAGTGGTGAAAATTTTAAATTTAATCGGGATCAGACATGAAACGAAACCGTTTTTGTTAAGATTTCAATTTGCACTAAACAAAAGTTGCTCCAAATTTAGATTATTTTATTATGTTTTACTGTAATTAGGCCATATAATCTAGAAATAGTAATTATGCCTTAAATAATCTGAGTTCCCCTCAGGTTTTCTTTTTTTGCTTTCCAAGAACCAGACTTCCCTGCAAATTATTCAGCAATATTTCATCAGTATTTCTAGTGTTCTTTTAAGTTACTCTTCTGACATTAGCTGTCTTTTCACACATTATTAGCCCTGTTCTTGTACCTGAACATTTCCAGAGGAGTAGATTTATTTAAAGCTCTTTTCCTCAGACCTGTGAATTATTCAAGCGTGAACTCAGAAAACACAACAAACCACTTAGTAAAGAACCACTTGAAAACGTATCTTCTGGCTTTTCATGACTGGCATCCTTCAAATGAAAATATTTGCTCTTTTAAATAAAAAAAAGGGCAGGAAAGTTGGACCTAAAATTTGAGTGATTAATCAACGTGAATCATGGTCCATATGAAATAATGAACGTTTTCTTGTTTTGCTGCAGCAGCAATGAAACAGGAAAGATGTTGGCGGCGGTGTTGCCGTCAGTGCAACAGGCATCAAAGCCAGAACAGCCTCCAAACAAGGGACGCCTAATCAATCGTTTTACAGTTCTATTTCAGTTTCCCTCCCCCTTTCTGATATCATCCCTTCATCTCCGTTTCCACAGCTCAAGTATTGTGAATCAGTCCCAGCTGGATGTGTCATGCTCTCACCGCGGTTGTTAGTGCTCACCTCCTTCCACTGCAATTTCCAGCTTCCCCCCTGGCTGCAGTTGCGTTCCCCCGGCTGGCATGGAGGAGGAGATAATGAAGAGAAACACCATGTGAAGATGGGCTGGATAAGCGTCGGGGCATCTGCAGGGGAAACAGTAACAAAGATCCATGAACTTTCTAACTTTAGACTGAATAGCCTTCTCCGAATGTGTTCAGGATTTATGACGTTGAGATTTTATCTCTTCTTTGGGAAACAAATTTGTTATTTTGTGTCTTCTGTGTGCAAATGACCAAAAACAAGCCAATTGCTTTACATTCAGATCTCTTTAACAAATTTTAAATGTTAAAGAGGTGTGTCAGAGAGCAACTTCTTTTGGTACAAATGAGGTGCTGCTACAATCCAGGTCTTAAACTGCATTCAAGAAGCACTGGGAAGTGGAAATTTTCTTGCTCCCATTTGTAAATTTAAATCGGAACGCCCCCCTCCAGTGGTAAATCCCATTCGTATAGTGGGAGCGACTGTGACAAACCCGTTTCGATTTCAAGATGGCAGCTACAACTTCAGAAATATAACTCAATAACTTTTCCTGTTAATTATCGTTCTTAATGTTTTTGTGCATGTTTAATCAATCATACAAATAGTGTGCTTTTTGTGCATACTGTATGTATTAAAATCAATGTTTATTTGCATAATGTACGTAGTAGAGCCCTTTTTTTTGTCATTGTTTATATGGTAACAGTGTTGTCACTACTGCAGCTTAGTACAATCGCATGTGGGATAACTGGAATGCAGATTCATTCGGTTTGTTGGGAAATTACGTCACTACCACTTCCCTGTTCCAGAGTACAACCTAAATGGAATGCACCATCACTTCTAATAATCATAGTCCGCTCCACCCCATTTGGCAATTTTTGTAGTTTGATAGCAGACATATATAGCTGCACAAAAATATTTTATTTACAAATTAATTAAAAGATGCCAACAATGGAAGACTTGTCCATCCAGCCTTATGCTGGAACCAGAGTCTGACCCAGAACCAGTGGAGAATGAAGACCACCAACCTGCAGAACCAAGATTTTGCAAAACTGATCAGCTGGAAATCCATGACCTTGTTTAGAAGTTTTGCAACAAAAACTGTGACATAATAGTTCTGAAAACATAATGGAGAATAGAGAAAACTGAAGGGACAGAAAAACATGAGCCAGACAGAATAAAAAAGATATCTTTGCAGCAGCGGGAGAAACTAAATTCAACTTTACTGCACCAAGAACACAACAAAATGTATCTACTACGTGTTCCTAAACAACAAAATGTATTTAACGGCTTAAATAAGCGGATTTGACACGATGTGTCCTCTTTAACCTACTGTGTCAGCTCAAGTCGCAATGCATTATGGTCTATATTTCCACCAATTTAATGTTCCGATTGTCACTTTCCACTGTGCCACCTGACCAGTGTTTAGGGCAGATATAGTAAAGCTAAATTATGAAACAGCTCTACTAAATGGCTGACTCGTTTTATAGTGAATAAGTGAAACGTGGATTATTTCTCCGAAGTGAGGTCAATCAAAAGGCTGTCTACAACAGGTAAGGTATTTATCGTAACCTTTTCACAGTCTGTGATGGACTGTTGCACAGAGACGTGAATTAGTGTCCCTGCAACCAAAAGAAACAAGCCAGTAAAGAAAATGGATGGATGGATGGATGGATGGATGGATGGATGGATGGATGGATGGATGGATGGATGGATGGATGG